CACAGTGGTTAATGAAAGAGAAGAAAGGACAGCCTTCATATATATCAACAGAATAGGAAGCAAGATGAGATCTCCCTGTAATTCCTAAGGTAAAGACGTCCCAATTTGTCTTACAAATCATTAATCTGATATTACTATTGTTTAAAGCAGGGGTCCTCAAACTATGGCCCACGGGCCACATGCAAATACAAATACTGTATTTGTTCCTGTTTTGTTTTTTTACTTCAAAATAAGATATGTGCAGTGTGCATAGGAATTTGTTCATAGTTGTTTTTTTAAACTATAGTCCAGCCTTCCAACGGTCTGAGGGACAGTGAACTAGCCCCCTGGTTTAAAGTAAAAAAGTATTACTATAAGAGCATTGAGCAATTAAATAGCAGTGCTAAGAAACCTACAAATCCTCAGAAGTTTTATGTGAAAATGAAAAGACTTCAGTTCTGCCAAGGTGGAATAGCCCTATTTCTCCCGGGTGCCTCCCTAACAGGGAAAAAATGTACATACAACACAACAAACAAGCCTAGGAAGTCTCTGAAACTTGGAAAGAAAAAGTTGAGTTGCCTGGGGATCTCAGGGCTTGAGGAAGACTTGTTTCTGTATTGACTCCCATATATTCCAAAGAGGATGCTGCAGAAGCCTCCAACCAGAAGTTTCCAATAGGCACAGACAAAGCGGCAATGAAAGCCTGTTCCTTCTAGTCTGGAGACCCAGAAGTGGGGCCAGCAGCAAATTTGTTTTGACAATACACACCCTACTCCAGCCAAACACCAATGGAAAAGACGTGCTTTTCTCCCCATACATGGTATCAGTGGGTACAAGCAGGAAGTTGGTCTTCTATCTCATACCCCTACTGCCACCCCTGGGGAGCAGGTGATACACTCTGATTTTCCCATTAGGTGGGGGAAAGCAGGCAGCCTGTCTTCCATCTCCACCCACAGAACAAGGCAGTGCTCTGATTGCCCAGCTGGGATAGTGTTGTCGGGGCTCAGCTGGGAGCTGATCTGTCATCCCCTGCCCAATGAAAGCTCTGATTCTCCCACCACCATAGTATCAGTGGGCTGCATAGTCAGCTGAGACCCTCTCCCACTTAGTAGTAAGAATAAATGAGGCTGTGCATGCCTGGTTATTTTTCTCAGCCACCTTGAAGGGAGTCTCTGGGGTTAGAGAACTCCAGGGGACAACAGAGGCCTGGGGTCTTTATACCCTCAAGGTTTATCTTAACTACAACTGACATATTCTGGACACAGTTTCATGGAGTATGCAAAGCAGACTGGCCCTAAAATAGCTAAAAATATGCTATTTTTGGTTATGTTTAAAACAATTGGGTGTGTATGAAATTAAATGTGGCTCTGGCAGGTTTTTGAGCTAATGGGTCTTAGCCTGCTGTGAAGAAGTAGACAACGTGGGTGGGGTAGCAATATATAGGTCCATCTTTGTCTCACTGTCAGAACACAGAACCAAACTAGAAATCAAGAACAGAAAGACAACAGGAAAATCCCCAAACACTTGGAAGTTAAACAACATACTTCTAAATAATCCTGGATCAAAGAGGAACTGAATAAAAATGAAAATAGAACATATCAAAATTGATTAAGACACAGTTAACACTGCACTGAGAAAAAGTATAGCACTAAATGTACATTGGAAAAGGAAAACTTTCAAATCAATCATCTAAGCTCCTACCCTCAAAAGCAAAATAAACCCAAATCAACAAGGAAAAAAAAGAAGTAATAACAATTTGTAAAATATATGATTATATATGATAACCACTATGCTATAGATCTGAAACTAATACAAAATAACATTGAATGTAAACTATAAGTGAAAAATGAAACTTAGAAAGAATAAATAGCAGAAATCAATAAAAATGAAAACTAGAAAAATATAGAGAAAATCAATGAAACAAAGAAAGCTAGTTTTTCAAAAT